TTGACCAGTGGTTGGCCAATGGTTGACCAACAGTTGGCCAACAGTTGACCAGTGATTGGCCAGCAGTTGACCAACAGTTGGCCAACAGTTTACCAGTGGTTGGCCAATGGTTGACCAACAGTTGGCTGACAGTTGACCAGTGATTGGCCAGCAGTTGACCAACAGTTGGCCGACAGTTGACCAGTGGTTGGCCAGTGGTTAACCAAAGTTGTCCGACAGTTGACCAGTAGTTGGCCAATGGTTGACCAACAGTTGGCCAACGATTGACCATGGCACCGTGCTGGGACCCCTGAGTGCGCACTGAGCACCGCAGAGGTGGCAGTTCCACGAGGAAGAAATTGTCTCAGAAGCTGTGCAACAGCCAGAGGTGCTGCACCCAGGTTTGTGTCACAGGAATTGTTGGAATTCAACCCACCGTGTGCAGCAGGGAGCAGCTCCCAGGGAAGCTGGGCACTGTTTTCTTATGGCCCCACAACTCTCCGGAGACGGGGCCCGTTACACAGGGCTTTGATTTAGCAGTACATGTAATTTATGGCACCAGCAGAAGTGACAGCACAGCACGGCAGTTGCAACTTACGGCTCAGTACAGATGTGGTTCTGTTCACCAGAACCTCTGTCATCTGCTCTCCATGATGGCACTGAGTGTCTCAAGTCTCCAGGAGGGCACAGATGGGCTGAAAGCGCTTCAGATGGAGTTCTTCCTTTTACTGTTCAGCTCTGTGTTGGGTTTACCCATGCATGCAGCCCCTCTCCCTGCATTGCTCCATGTTAGAGTCGTAGAATCACAGAATCGTTTGGAAAAGACCTCTAAGATCATCTAGTCCCACCATCCACCCACCACCAATGCTTCCCCACTGCCCACGTCCCCCAGTGCCACATCCCTGTGCTCACTGAACACCCCCAGGGATGGGGGCTCCCCGCTGCCCTGGGCAGCTGTGCAGTGCTGACGGCTCTTTGCAGCACAGGTTGTTCCCAATTCCAACCCTCCCCGTTGCACCCTGAGCCCATCCCCTCCCATCCCATCCCCATTCCCTGCGGATGGAGACCAACCCCTCCTTCACTCCAGCCTCCTTTCCCCAGTGGCACAGCGCTGAGCTCCCCCTGAGCCCCTCTGCCCCCCTCTACCCAGCACGATGCTGGCGCGGAGCCTTGCACCAAATCTCTGTGCTTATGGGGGCCACGTCCAAGGCTTCGCTAATCCAGATGACATCAGCAGCCCTTCTCCCTCCTGCTGGTGCAGTGACACCTTCACGGCATCCATGGGTTGGTCGGGCAGGACCCAGCCTTGGTGCAGCTGTGCTGGTTGTCCCCTATCACCTCCCTCTCTTTCTTAGCGCAGCTTCCAGGAGCTTCTGCCCCACGCTTTTCCCCAGCACAGAGGAGATGCTGGCAGGTTGGGAGTTCCCTGGGCCATCCTTTCCACCCTCCTTAAAGGTGGGGGCTTCTGCAGCCTAGGAATACCTGTAGGCAGAGTGGAGCTGTGCGGGGCACTCTGAGTTTGCCCTGGAGGATTTTTAGCAGTGCCCCATCCACGGGTGTGTTTGAAACACGTTGGGCAAAAGCTTGGTACCTTTTATGGGTTGAATTGTAGCATCATGATACGTTTTAGTGCTGGTGGTGGCAATGGTGATGAGGAGACGGTTGGACTGGATGATCTTGTAGGTCGTTTCCAACCTTGTGATTCTGTGATTCTGTGATCAAAGAATCGTGAAGGTTGGAAAAAAATGAGGTGTCCTCCACGACCCAACCAACATTGTGGGGTCAACCCTATGGGATCAGCCACCAGCCAACCAAACCCTGCGGGGTCAGGGGTGACCCTACGGGGTCAACCACCACCCAACTGAACTCTACGGGATCAACTCCGTGGGGTCAACCACTGCTTCTAAGATCCCCAGTCCAACCCCAACCCATCCCACCATGCCCACTAACCTTGTTCCCAAGCTCCCCGTGGTTCTGGAACACCCCCAGGGATGGGGGTTGGTGTGACCCAAGTGAAGGACCCAGCATTGGGTTGAACTTCACCCCGTTGGTCTCAACCCATCAGTGCATCCTGGACCCCTCTGTAGGGCCTTCCTGCCCTCCAGCAGATGGGCTCTTCCTCCCAGCTTCGTGTTTCCCTCATCCCTGATCACAGGGAGACACAAACAGCTGAAAATCCACGTTTCCCATCTGTCCCCTGAAGCTCCAGCAGCCAAGCAGAGCACTGGGAGCACGGGGACATGCAGGGCCCCAGCAGATGTGCCCCAGCTCTCCTGGGGACGCTCAGGCTGTGCCATAACTGCTGGAGGAGGGGCTGAGCTCCCACCTCTCGGCGCAGGGTCGGGATGCCCCACTCCTGCACCTCTGTGTCAGAGTAACCTAAAAAACAGGAGAGCGGCTGCCCTGCAGGATGGCCTGAGTTGTTGGGATGATTAAAAAATGAAACAGCACTGGCGTGTTCTGTCAGCATGTCTGTTTCTTTATTTGGAAAGGAGCAGGGCGATGTGCACGTATCACATGCAGATGATGAAATATTTTCCGCACCATTAGTAACCGAAGCTGTCAGCATCTCCCAGGTGGTGATTGTTCAGTTTGGGTATTTTTTCACTGTAGGATGCTGGGGGATGCCAGGGGCTGGCAGAGCTGGGGAGGGGCAGAGGCCGTCCCTGACGGCGGCGCGCTGGTAGTGAAGGCAGCTGATGGAAATCTAAGGAGTGAAATATAATGAACACCATAAAATCTCACGGAACGGACGTGATTTCATTCTTGGAGGCATCGGATTTGTTTGATAAGGATCTCTGTTTAGGTGTAGTGTAGATTTTTGTGAGGCTTTGTTTACTACAAAGCCCACGTTGTACAAAACGAGTGCGGTTTCCTGAATGAGGGGCCCTGATGGGCAGCTGCCCATAAGAGCTCAGCCCTGGCTGCCTCTTCTGGTGGCCTCTGCTGGGCTGCTCCCAGACCTGCTGCTGCTCAGGGCTCTCTTGAATGTTGTAGAGCATCAGAATTCAACACGGGCAACTGCAGGGTCCTGCACCTGGGGAGGAACAAGGCGTGGATCAGTGCAGGCTGGGGGCTGATGGTGCTGGAAGGGAGCTGTGAGGAGAAGGACCTGGTGGTTCACGAACACTTGACCAACGGTTGACCAATGGTTGACCAACTCTTGACCAACAGTTGACCAGCCATTGATCAACGGTTGACCAACAATTGACCAATGGCTGACCAACAGTTGACCAGTGGTTGACCAACGGTTGACCAACGTTTGACCAGTGGTTGACCAGTGGTTGACCAATGGTTGACCAACAGTTGACCAACGGTTGACCAGCAGTTGACCAGTGGTTGACCAACAATTGACCAATGGTTGACCAACAATTGACCAACGGTTGACCAGCAGTTGACCAGTGGTTGACCAACAATTGACCAATGGCTGACCAACGGTTGACCAGCAGTTGACCAGTGGTTGACCAACAATTGACCAATGGCTGACCAACGGTTGACCAACAGTTGATCAACGGTTGACCAACGTTTGACCACTGGTTGACCAGTGGTTGACCAATGGTTGACCAACAGCTGACCAACGATTGACCAGCAGTTGACCAGTGACTAACCAACAATTGACCAATGGTTGACCAACGATTGACTAACAATTGACCAGCAGTTGACCAATGGTTGACCAACGATTGACCAACAATTGACCAATGGTTGACCAATGGTAGAGCAATGGTTGACCAACAATTGACCAACGGTTGACCAACAGTTGACCAATGGTTGACCAACGATTGACTAACAATTGACCAACAATTGACCAATGGTTGACCAATAGTAGACCAATGGTTGACCAACAATTGACCAACAGTTGACCAATGACTGACCAATAGTTGACCAGTGGTTGACAACTAGTTGACCAGTGGTTGACCAAAGTTGGACCAGGTGTCGGCCACGAGCCAGCTGTGTGCCTTGGTGGCCCAGAAGGCCATTGGATTCCCAGGGTGTGCTGCACAGAGCGTGGCCAGCAGGGCAGGGGGGGCTCAGCTGCAGCATTGAGCCCAACGTGGGGCTCCCCAGTTCCAGGCAGGCTGGGAACTGCTGGGACAGCCCAGCACAGATGACTGTGTGCCACAATAACCCACATACCTCTAATTATGTAAACAACAGCAGTGCAGGCTGCTCTGACAGCATTAATGGAAGCTCCTTAAGGGTCAGAAGAGACAAAAAAGGAACATTCTTAAGGTGCCCAAACCTGCAGCACGGGGCGCAGCCCCATCTTTTGCCCCACGGTGCTTCCAGCGCCGGGCGCAGAGGCAGTGCTGGTGCTGAGGGGTGCTGTGCAGCGAGGGCAGCACAAAGAGCAGCACGTGAGCACTGATCTCATGGCTGTTCCATACAGGAGCAGGGGGGGGAACTGTCGCTGTAGGTTTTTTTCCTGTTGCTTTTTCTTTCAAGCAGTGGCAGTTACTGAACAGCTGGAGCAAACGTGCGGCGGTGGGGCTTAAATTCTTCATCTCCTGGTGTTGAGCAGAGACCCGAGGCCTCTTTATATCCACGTGGTTTCAAGACCAACTTCTGGTCTTGAAATCAGGGAGACGAAATCGATGGAGCACGGGCATCCCAAACGCTGCCAACACCTTTCACTCCTGGCAGCCCGAATAATAGCGCAAGTGCCAACACAGAAATGCTTTTGTTCTTCGTAGTCAATCACTCCTCCCTTATTTGCCATCCCTAAATTATCTCACTTCAAGAGTGCTGTCAGCCCTGGGACGCGCAGCCCGCTGCGAAACTCGGTGCCAAAACGTGCCAGCCTGCCCCTCTTATTTCACCCCGGGTTTGGAGACGAAGGCAGCTCCTCCATCTGCAACCCAGCCCAGCTGTTCCATCCCCTCTCCAGATGCTCACAGAGGAGCTCGGGGTGCCGTGCAGCCCCTGGCTGGGTTTCGTGCATGCAGCCACGCGGGGAGGAGCAGAGATGCCGACCCATCCGCCCCGGTGCCGCTGCCCACGGCTGCGTTTCTCTTTGTGCCCAGGTGAACGGAGTCAACGTGGTGAAGGTGGGGCACAAGCAGGTGGTGTCGCTGATCCGCCAGGGGGGGAACCACCTGGTGATGAAGGTCGTCTCCGTCAGCCGCAAGCCTGAGTCAGAAGAGGTCGTTCGGAAGAAGGGTAGGTGGAGGGGGCTGTGCTGGGGTCGGGGGGGCTGAGCCGGGGGGTGCTGGGGGCAGAGGGGGCTGCAGAGCTGTGCGCGTCACGCTCCTGTGGGCAGGTAAACCTCTGCAGCACGGAGCTGCCCCTGGTTTGGGGGTGTTGGGGCACGAGGGTGTCAGGGTGTAGAACTGCCCCTGGTTTGGGGTACGAGGGTGTGAGGATGCAGAACTGCCTCTGGTTTGGGGTATGAGGGTGTCAGGGTGCAGAACTGCCCCTGGTTTGGGGTATGAAGGTGTCAGGGTGTAGAACTGCCCCTGGTTTGGGGTATGAGGGTGTCAGGGTGCAGAACTGCCCCTGGTTTGGGGTACGAGGGTGTGAGGATGCAGAACTGCCTCTGGTTTGGGGTATGAAGGTGTGAGGATGCAGAACTGCCCCTGGTTTGGGGTATGAGGGTGTCAGGGTGCAGAACTGCCCCTGGTTTGGGGTACGAGGGTGTGAGGATGCAGAACTGCCTCTGGTTTGGGGTATGAAGGTGTGAGGATGCAGAACTGCCCCTGGTTTGGGGTATGAGGGTGTGAGGATGCAGAACTGCCCCTGGTTTGGGGTATGAAGGTGTCAGGGTGTAGAACTGCTCCTGGTTTGGGGTATGAAGGTGTGAGGATGCAGAACTGCCCCTGGTTTGGGGTATGAGGGTGTGAGGATGCAGAACTGCCCCTGGTTTGGGGTACGAGGGTGTGAGGATGCAGAACTGCCTCTGGTTTGGGGTATGAGGGTGTCAGGGTGCAGAACTGCCCCTGGTTTGGGGTATGAGGGTGTCAGGGTGTAGAACTGCCCCTGGTTTGGGGTATGAGGGTGTCAGGATGCTGAACTGCCCCTGGTTTGGGGTATGAGGGTGTCAGGGTGTAGAACTGCCCCTGGTTTGGGGTATGAGGGTGTCAGGGTGTAGAACTGCCCCTGGTTTGGGGTATGAAGGTGTCTGGGTGTAGAACTGCCTCTGGTTTGGGGTATGAGGGTGTCAGGGTGCAGAACTGCCCCTGGTTTGGGGTACGAGGGTGTGAGGATGCAGAACTGCCCCTGGTTTGGGGTATGAAGGTGTGAGGATGCAGAACTGCCCCTGGTTTGGGGTATGAAGGTGTCAGAGTGTAGAACTGCTCCTGGTTTGGGGTATGAGGGTGTCAGGGTGCAGAACTGCCCCTGGTTTGGGGTATGAGGGTGTCAGGGTGCAGAACTGCCCCTGGTTTGGAGTATGGGGGTGTTGGAGCACAGAGGTGCCCCTGGTTTGGGGTATGAAGGTGTCAGGGTGTAGAACTGCCCCTGGTTTGGGGTATGAGGGTGTCAGGGTGCAGAACTGCCCCTGGTTTGGGGTACGAGGGTGTGAGGATGCAGAACTGCCCCTGGTTTGGGGTATGAAGGTGTGAGGATGCAGAACTGCCCCTGGTTTGGGGTATGAAGGTGTCAGAGTGTAGAACTGCCCCTGGTTTGGGGTATGAGGGTGTCAGGGTGCAGAACTGCCCCTGGTTTGGGGTATGAGGGTGTCAGGGTGCAGAACTGCCCCTGGTTTGGAGTATGGGGGTGTTGGAGCACAGAGGTGCCCCTGGTTTGGGGTATGAAGGTGTCAGGGTGTAGAACTGCCCCTGGTTTGGGGTATGAGGGTGTCAGGGTGCAGAACTGCCCCTGGTTTGGGGTACAAGGGTGTGAGGATGCAGAACTGCCCCTGGTTTGGGGTATGAAGGTGTGAGGATGCAGAACTGCCCCTGGTTTGGGGTATGAGGGTGTGAGGATGCAGAAATGCCCCTGGTTTGGGGTATGAAGGTGTCAGAGTGTAGAACTGCTCCTGGTTTGGGGTATGAGGGTGTCAGGGTGCAGAACTGCCCCTGGTTTGGGGTAGGAGGGTGTCAGGATGCTGAACTGCCCCTGGTTTGGAGTATGGGGGTGTTGGAGCACAGAGGTGCCTCTGGTTTGGGGTATGAGGGTGTCAGGGTGCAGAACTGCTCCTGATTTGGGGTACAAGGGTGTCAGGATGCAGAACTGCCCCTGGTTTGGGGTATGAAGGTGTCAGGGTGTAGAACTGCCCCTGGTTTGGGGTAGGATGGTGTCAGGGTGTAGAACTGCTCCTGGTTTGGGGTACGAGGGTGTCAGGCTGTAGAACTGCCCCCAGTTTGGGGTATGATGGTGTCAAGGTGTAGAACTGCCCCTGGTTTGGAGTATGGGGGTGTTGGAGCACAGAGGTGCCTCTGGTTTGGGGTCTGGGGGTGTCAGGGTGTAGAGCTGCCCCTAGTTTGGGGTACGAGGATGTCAGGATGCAGAACTGCCCCTGGTTTGGGGTATGAGGGTGTCAGGGTGTAGAACTGCCCCTGGTTCAGGGTCTGGGGGTGTTGGGGGCACAGAGCTTCCCGTGCTTTGGAGTCTGGGGCTGTTGGGACACAGAGCTGCCCCTGGTTCGGGGTCTGGGGGTGCTGGGGCACAGAACTGACCCTGGTTGTGCACGTGGGGCGTCAGGGTCTTCTCCCCATCGCCCCCAGGCACTGAGGGCAGAGGTGAGACCCTCACCCAGAGGGGGACAGAGGGACGCCATCCCGGGGTGGGGGGCAGCTGTTGTGGGCACAGCCGGAGGGGTGCAGCAGGGGCAGATCGGGGGGCTCTCCCTGCCCACCCCCACTCTCAGTGGGCAGCGGCGTTTCTGGGCGCCGGGGGGGGTCACTCGGAGAGCAGGGAGGAGGCAGACCTTGAGCGCTGCATCGCATCACAAAGTGTGAGCCCTGGGGGGGGTCCGAGGCTCTGAGCCCGTGCGGGGAGCCCCGCGCTGCCGCTGCTCTGCCGCTCGCAGCCCCGTAGCCGAGCCCCAGCCCCGCGCTGCCCTCCCGGAGGAGCCGCAGCCTTCCTTGCAGCCGGGGATGCGCTCCTGCGGGTGCCGGAGGCGCGGAGCCCGGCGTGGGGCCGTGTTTTCCCCTCGAATCCGCCCCGGTTGGGGTCTCTGATGCGGCGGCAGCACGAGCCCGGAGCTCCGGTTGCCATGGCAATGCCTGAGCGTTGAATCCAGGACTCAATCCGGTATTGTCACCGCGCGAGCGAGGAGGAGGCGCCGGGCGGAGAGGAGCAGCCTTCCTTCCACGCGTCCCTGCGCCGTGGGTCCGGGCATGGAGAGCCCGAGGGCAACCGGCCCGGACGGGGGACCCCCGGCGCCCGCCCCGTGCCCAGCGAGGAGCCGCCCCCCCCCAGAGCTGCGTTAGGGCGGCGGAGCCCGGATCCGGCGGAGGAGCGGAGGGTGGCTGCCGCGATCGGCGGGGGGCCGCGCCGGGGATGAAGGACTGAGCTGAGCTCCGGACTCGCCTCTTCTGTTCCCCCCGCCCATGGCGCACGCGGAGGGGCCGCAGCCGCCGAAGCCGTGAGCCGAGGGCCGAGGCCCCGTCGCCAGGCACGGGGCGAAGCCGGGGATGTGAACCGGACCGCGCTGCGCTGAGGGCGGCGGAGCCGGGCAGCGTGCAGCCCCCCGGCCCGGCCCGGCCCCGCACCACCAACACGATGAAGAAGTTCGCCTCCACGCGCAGCCTCAATAAAATCCTGCAGCAGTGCGATTCCTCGTCCCGCGAGTACGAGGAGATCCAGGCGGTGGAGAAGAAGTGGCACCTTCACCTGGCCACGCCGCGTAAGTTCCTGGACAAGAAGTGCAAAATGCCGTCTCTCTTCCTTTCAGCTCCGCCGCCTCCCAAGAGGGCGCCCAGCACCACGCTGACGCTGCGGTCCAAATCCATGACGGCTGAGCTGGAGGAGCTGGGTGAGCGGCGGGGCGGGGGGCGGCGCGGGTGGGCGCACATCGGGTGGGCGCACGCAGCATCCGGCCCTTGTGCTCCCGGTGCTGTGTTGGGGGGAGGGCGGGAAGGAGCATGGCGCCGCGCGGAGCCGTTCCAGCTCGTCGGGATGGGGCAGGGGGTCCCTGCGGGCTCAGACCCCCCTCCTCCCCCCCGTCGGGCTGCCCGCCTCCTTGCCGGCTCAGAGCTGCGGCACGGCTGGGCTGGTGGAGACCTTACAGGTGATAGAACCACGGAATGGTTGGGGTTGGATGGGAGCCCCCGCTCCTACCTCTGCCGTGGGGCTGCGTGCCTCCCCCCCCCCCCCCCCCCCCCTCCATCAGGGCCCTGCCGTGGCCTCGGACGCTTCCAGGGATGGGGCACCCGGCACCCGCACTGCTCTGTGCCAGGACCCCCCCGCTGCCGCCTCCCCTTGCACACACACACTCACACATTCGCTGCCACGAAGCGTCCTGCCCACGGCTCCAGCTGCTTTGGCACCGCAGCTCACAGCTCCATCTCTGTGCTCTCTCCACCCCCTCCCTCCATCCCCACATCCGTGCACCCCGTGACGAAGCTCTTCGCTCTCCCTCGTGTTGGTAACCTCCCCCACCCCACTCACCCCCCTCCCCTCCTTCCCCCCACATCTCCCCCTTTGCACCCCGCGGTTCTCACCATCCCTGCGCCATGGGGCGCCGCAGGGTGTGCTGTTGGTTCAGGGGCTGCAGCGCTGCCCTCCTGTCGGCGCTGAGCGGTGCCTGGGGGTCTCCTCCGCTGGTCGGAGCAGCCCGGAGCTGCGATACACGCGGGTTGAGCAGAGGGACCCGGCCCCGGCTTTGCTGCTTGCATTGAAGTCTCTGTGCGCGGCCGTGTCGTGCACGGGTGCCGCACGTTGCCCTGCCCGGGGGGAGCCCCCTGGAGCCCCCCCGTTCCCTCCCCTCCCTGGCGATGAGGGGAGCGCGCTGCGATTCATTCCGTGCTTTGTTTTCACCTCTCCCTGCGCCCCCGGCCCCGCAGGCGCTGCGCTGGGCTGCGGCCATCAGGCGGGGACGCAGAGCGGCGCATTCTTTGCCGTTCCCTCGGCACAAAACACCGCGCAGCCCCCCGGGGTTGACGTTCCCTCCGTCCCCGGTTCCTCCTCCTGGGGCAGTTCCGCACCGCTGGGGGGAGGGGGTTGGAGGGGTGCGGGTGCAGGAGGTGCAGCGCTTCGCCTCGCCCCGTGGCACGGCGTGCTGTGCGCGGTGTGCGAGCGCGGCTGCGGGAAAGGCCGAGCCCTGAGGTTCCCCCCCCCCACACCCCCCGAGGTTTTCGCATCGCCGTGCCTTTACGCCCCCTCGGTGCCCCCGGGAGCCGGGCGTGCGGCCTTGGCAGCGTTCCCCGCTTTCTTTGCCTCCTTCCGCCGTTCGGGTGGCTCGGAGCCGGGCCGGGGGGGGGGGGGGGGGAAGAGGGGACAGAACGCAGCGCTGGGGGCAGCTCTGCATTCCGATGCAGGGGACGTGGGGACGGTCGCCGCCTCTTCTCCCCGAAGCCCGTCCCCGTCCTGCACGTAGCGAGCCCTTGGTGCTGCACGCTGTGCCCGCCCCCCGGCCCAGCTGATCCCGTCCCGCAGCCCCGGAGGAGCTGTTTGGGGTGGGGGGGGGTCGGAGGGTGGCTCACAGCTCTCCTCACCGCGATGGGTTTCAGGCCGGCAGCGCGGGGTCGAGGTCAGGACAGAGCAGGTAGAGCTGGGACGGGAGCAGAACTGTGCATGCCATTCACGTCTTGTTTTGTTTCTTGATTCCAAGCCTCCATGCGGAGAAGAAAAGGGGGTGAGTGAAACTGCACATCCCGGGGCTCGGCCCGTCCCCCAGCCCCAGCCGTGGGGACCCCCGGGGGGGGGGGAGGAGGGGGGGAGGCTGATGGGGAGGAGGCAGAGCGAGGCTGGGGCGAGGAGCTTTGGGATAGAGGTGGCTGGCGGCAGGCTGAGCGCCCGGTGCTGGGGGGAAGCTGGATGTGGTGCGGGTTGGCTTGTGAAGCTTTTGCACGAGGGACGGTGCAAAGTGGAGAGGTTCCCACCGAGGCTGGGAGCTGCAATGGGCCGCAGGGTGTGGAGAACAAAAGCTCGTCGCACGGCTGTGCCGGCAGCGCCGAGCGCGGGGCTGCGTCCCGAGGGGGGGAGGAACCACGGCCGTCAAGGCTGGAAAAGACCTCTGGGGTCACCAGTCCGACCCCAACCCACCCCGAGTGCCGCGTCCCCATGGATTTGAACCCCCCCCCTGGGGATGGGGAGACCCTTCTGCCCTGGGTGGCTGCGCAGTGCTGACCGCTTTTTGGAGCTGAAATGTTGCCCGGCGCTCTGCCGACCCCAGCGCAGCTCCGGGGTCTCACCGGCAGGGACAGCAGGCGCCTCCCTGACCTCCCCTGCAGGAGCAGCATTCAGGTGGCGGCTCTGCAGGTGTCTCCTGCTCTGGGTCAACGGCAGGAGGCCATCGGGGCTGTGCCGTTAGAGCAGTGCCACCAGGGCTGTGCCACCAGGCTGTGCCATTAAAGCTGTGCCATTAAGGCTGTGCAATGAGGGCTGTGCCATTAAGGCCGTGCAGTGGGGGCTGTGCCATCAGGGCTGTGCCATTAAGGCTGTGCCATTAAGGCTGTGCCACCAGGGCTGTGCCATTAAGGCTGTGCAATGGGGGCTGTGCCATTAAGGCTGTGCCATCAGGGCTGTGCCATCAGGGCTGTGCCATTAAGGCTGTGCCATTAAGGCTGTGCCATCAGGGCTGTGCCATCAGGGCTGTGCCATTAAGGCTGTGCCATTAAGGCCTTGCAATACGGGCTGTGCCATTAAGGCTGTGCAATGGGGGCTGTGCAATGGGGGCTGTGCCATTAAGGCTGTGCCACCAGGGCTGTGCAATGGGGGCTGTGCCACCAGGGCTGTGCCATTAAGGCTGTGCCATTAAGGCTGTGCAATACGGGCTGTGCCATTAAGGCTGTGCCACCAGGGCTGTGCCATTAAGGCTGTGCCATCAGGGCTGTGCCACCAGGGCTGTGCCATTAAGGCTGTGCCATCAGGGCTGTGCCATTAAGGCTGTGCAATGGGGGCTGTGCCACCAGGGCTGTGCCATTAAGGCTGTGCAATGAGGGCTGTGCCATCAGGGCTGTGCCATTAAGGCTGTGCCATTAAGGCTGTGCAATGAGGGCTGTGCCAGTAAGGCTGTGCCATCAGGGCTGTGCCATCAGGGCTGTGCCATTAAGGCCGTGCAATGGGGGCTGTGCCATCAGGGCTGTGCCATTAAGGCCGTGCAATGGGGGCTGTGCCATCAGGGCTGTGCCATTAAGGCTGTGCCATTAAGGCTGTGCAATGAGGGCTGTGCCTTTAAGGCTGTGCCATCAGGGCTGTGCCATCAGGGCTGTGCCATTAAGGCCGTGCAATGGGGGCTGTGCCATCAGGGCTGTGCCATTAAGGCTGTGCCATTAAGGCTGTGCAATGAGGGCTGTGCCTTTAAGGCTGTGCCATCAGGGCTGTGCCATCAGGGCTGTGCCATTAAGGCCGTGCAATGGGGGCTGTGCCATCAGGGCTGTGCCATTAAGGCTGTGCCATTAAGGCTGTGCAATGAGGGCTGTGCCAGTAAGGCCGTGCCACCAGGGCTGTGCCATCAGGGCTGTGCCATTAAGGCTGTGCCATTAAGGCCTTGCAATACGGGCTGTGCCATTAAGGCTGTGCAATGGGGGCTGTGCCATCAGGGCTGTGCCATTAAGGCTGTGCCATTAAGGCTGTGCCACCAGGGCTGTGCCACCAGGGCTGTGCCATTAAGGCTGTGCCATTAAGGCTGTGCCACCAGGGCTGTGCTACCAGGGCTGTGCCATTAAGGCTGTGCAATGAGGGCTGTGCGATTAAGGCCGTGCCACCAGGGCTGTTCCATCAGGGCTGTGCCATTAAGGCTGTGCCATCAGGGCTGTGCCACCAGGGCTGTGCCATTAAGGCTGTGCCACCAGGGCTGTGCCACCAGGGCTGTGCCATTAAGGCTGTGCAATGAGGGCTGTGCCATTAAGGCCTTGCAATACGGGCTGTGCCATTAAGGCTTTGCAATGGGGGCTGTGCCATCAGGGCTGTGCCATTAAGGCTGTGCCATTAAGGCTGTGCAATGAGGGCTGTGCCATTAAGGCCGTGCAATGGGGGCTGTGCCATCAGGGCTGTGCCATTAAGGCCGTGCCACCAGTGCTGTGCCACCAGGGCTGTTCCATCAGGGCTGTGCCATTAAGGCTGTGCCATTAAGGCTGTGCAATGAGGGCTGTGCCACCAGGGCTGTGCCATTAAGGCTGTGCAATGGGGGCTGTGCCATCAGGGCTGTGCCATCAGGGCTGTGCCATTAAGGCTGTGCAATGGGGGCTGTGCCATCAGGGCTGTGCCACAAGAGCTGTGCCACCAGGGCTGTGCCATTAAGGCTGTGCCATTAAGGCTGTGCCACCAGGGCTGTGCTACCAGGGCTGTGCCATTAAGGCTGTGCAATGAGGGCTGTGCGATTAAGGCCGTGCCACCAGGGCTGTGCCACCAGGGCTGTGCCATCAGGGCTGTGCCATTAAGGCTGTGCAATGAGGGCTGTGCCATCAGGGCTGTGCCATTAAGGCTGTGCAATGGGGGCTGTGCCATCAAGGCCGTGCCATCAGGGCTGTGCCTTTAAGGCTGTGCCATTAAGGCTGTGCTACCAGGGCTGTGCCATTAAGGCTGTGCAATGAGGGCTGTGCCATTAAGGCCTTGCAATACGGGCTGTGCCATTAAGGCTGTGCAGTGGGGGCTGTGCCATCAGGGCTGTGCCATTAAGGCCGTGCCATTAAGGCTGTGCCACCAGGGCTGTTCCATCAGGGCTGTGCCATTAAGGCTGTGCCATTAAGGCTGTGCAATGAGGGCTGTGCCAGTAAGGCCTTGCAATACGGGCTGTGCCATTAAGGCTGTGCAATGGGGGCTGTGCCATCAGGGCTGTGCCATTAAGGCTGTGCAATGAGGGCTGTGCCACCAGGGCTGTGCCATTAAGGATGTGCAATGGGGGCTGTGCCATCAGGGCTGTGCCATCAGGGCTGTGCCATTAAGGCTGTGCAATGGGGGCTGTGCCATCAGGGCTGTGCCATCAGGGCTGTGCCATTAAGGCCATGCAATGAGGGCTGTGCCATTAAGGCTGTGCAATGAGGGCTGTGCCATTAAGGCTGTGCCATCAGGGCTGTGCCACCAGGGCTGTGCCATTAAGGCTGTGCCATTAAGGCTGTGCCATCAGGGCTGTGCCATTAAGGCCATGCAATGAGGGCTGTGCCGTCCCCATGTCGCACAGTGCCCCGGCGCGGTCCTTTCTTGCAGCCCGGAGCTTGGAGGGGTCACCCGAGAGGGCACCCCGGTGCCGCTGAAGGGACACAGAACAGAACCAGAAGAACGAGGCGGATGGAAGCGGGCGGAGCGTTGCTGCCGTCCCGGCCGCGGCTCCGCGTTCCCGTGCGGCTCCCGCAGCTCCTCCGCTCCCCGCACGCTGCGTTCCGCCTACGGCCCTTCCCGGGGCTGTTCCGCAATGTAGCGGGGACGTCGTGCGGAGATGGCGGCTGCGGTGGGGCCGGAGCCTCCCCAAGGCTCAGCCCGCGCCCCCCAGCACGGCGCTGTGGGGTCCCGGCCGCTGGGACGTCGGCATCCGGTGCTGCTGTGCGTGGCTGCCCGGTGCCGGGGCGCAGCGCTGGGGATGGGAGCGGGGAGGAGGCAGCCCCCCCCCCGGCCTCCCCTCAACCCCAATGAAAGTTCCAGGGCTCGGTGGGGGCTCTGGGCCGAGGGCTTTGCCCAACGCAGCCGTCCGCCCGGTTCGGGAGGTTCGGTCTCATTCGGAACAAGCACCGCACGTTTCGCCGGTTCCGATTATCAGAAAGTGCAGCATCGCCGGTTCCGAATATCGCAGCGGATGCTGCCGGCTCCATCCCGTGGGGGTCCTGAGACCCACGGAGCTGCGGGGCGGGGGGCGGCCGAGCAGCGCTTCCCCACTCCGTACCCAGCCGTGGCGGTGGGCTCGGCTCGGCTCGGCTCGGCTCGGCTCGGCTCGGCTCGGCTCGGCTCGGCTCGGCTCGGCTCGGGGTTGGGGGAGGGGGGGTTGGAATCGCCCCTCTGCCGCGGCCCCCGCTGACGGCCCCGCGTCTGTTTGGGGTTGCAGAGAAACTGGACGAGATCCTGGCGGCCGCCGAACCGGCGCTGAGGGCGGACATCGTGGAGGCGGATTCACGGGCGGCCACGGTGAAACAGCGCCCGACGAGTCGCCGCATCACCCCGGCGGAGATCAGTGTGAGGGAGGGGGCTGCGCCGGGGGCTGGGGGCGGGAGGGAGGGGGGGGGGATGGAGGGAGGCGGGGAGGGAATGGGGCTGGAGGTGGGGAGGGGTGAGAACAGGGCGGGGAGGGGGGGGAATCCTGGGCTTCATCAGCAAAGGGGTGGCAGCAGGGACAGGGAGGTGATTGTCCCCCTCTGCTCTGCCCTCATGAGGCTCCATCTGCAGCACTGCGTCCAGGGCTGGGGGTCCAAATACAAGACAGACAGGGAGCTGTTGGAGAGGGTGCAGAGCAGCCACAAAGATGAGCAGGGGCTGCAGCAGCTCCATGTAAAGACAGGCTGAGGGAGCTGGGCTGTTCAGCATGGAGAAGAGAAGCTGGGGGTGAGCTGAGTGCAGCTGCAGGAGCTGAAGGGAGCCTGCAGACAGGAGGGGAGTCAGCTGGAAAGGGGGGGGGTCCCGGGTGGGGGGAACGGAGAAGGAAGGAAGGAGCAGCGAGAGGAGGGCTGAGGAGAAGCCGCATCCATGGCTGGACGTGGGGGGGATGCGAGCGGTGCGAAGGGAAAGGCTGCGGCTCCCAGCGCCTCCTGCACATCCGTCCTTAGCAGAGCGAGCTGCCTGGGGGCCCCGGGGCACTGAGCCTGCAAATGCACGGGGGCAACAAAGGGGGGGGAAAGGGGAGATGGCAGCAGGACGAGGGGAAACGGCTGGAAGCTGAGGGAGGGCAGCTGGAGGTTGGATGTGAGGGGAAGTTCTTTGCTATGGGAGCGGGGAGGGGCTGGAACAGCTGCCAGAGAGGCTGTGATGCCCCGTCCATCCCTGGAGGTGTTGGAGGCCAGGTTGGATGGGGCCCTGGGCAGCCTGGTTTAGCGTTAAACGTGGAGGTTGGGGGCCCTGCATTGGTGGGGGGTTGGAGCTTCGTGAGCCTTGAGGTCCCTTCCAACGCAAACCATTCTGTGGTTCTGTGGGGATGGAGGTGGCTGCTGGAGCAGGACAGCGATGGGCAGGGATGGGGTCTGGGTGACGATGGGGGTCTCTGGAGGAGGGTCGTCTCCTTTCGGCTGCTTCTCACCGACGTGCGGGATGGAAATTCCTTCTTTTTCCTTTGCAGTCCCTCTTTGAGCGGCAGGGCATGGCGGCCCACGCGGGGGTCCTGGCAGGAGCTGAGAAACCCCACGTGTCACTGCGCAAAGGGATCCCGAGGACCAAATCTGTAGGTAAGGCATGCGGGGGTCCCGAGGGGTCCCACACCCACAGGGAGTTCAGCCCTCATCATTAAGGTCTCAAAATGGGATCTCGTGAAGGTCTCAAAATGGGACCCCATAAAGAACTCA